TCCGTCCATCCGTCCGTCCATCCATCAAGTTTCACGGGACCCCCCATTTGCCAGCACTGTGCTAAGTTCCCACCGCCATCTCTGGCTGATACCCCAGTTGTCCTCATGTCCCCTAGGCTCAGCAGGGCTCAAGGTGGCTGTGAAACCCCTGGAAGCAGTCTCTCCCCTCCCCTCCCCTTTGGGTACCAGCCCCCATAGCCCATCCCCACATCCTCTCCGAAGAACCTCTCCCACTTCAGAGCCGCCCACCTCTGTGGTCCCCTGAGCTCCCCTCTGAGCTCTACCCGCCTGGAAATCTGTGTCTTTCTCCCCCCAACCATGGGCAGCGCCTTCTCCTGGCCAGGCTGGAGAGAGGGTTTGGGCAGGGAGGCAGCTGAGTGGGTGCTAATTTTGGAGCACTGGGGATCCACCCGAGGCCCCATCCTTTAGGGTTCTGTGTATGGAGAGCCACCTCGGCCACCCGGAGGTGGTGGGTCAGTGAGATACCTTTGGAGGATGAGGACCATGTAGGGATAAGAAAGAGTGGTTGTCAGAGCAAGGACTTGGGAAGGGCCCCCTTTGGGGGTGACTTGAAAAGGGAGGGAGGGAAGGAGCACTGCACTTCCTCTGGGAAGGACGATGTGGCTGAGGGGACAGCTGTGTAAAGGCCCTGAGGCAGGACAGTACCTGATGCATCTGAGGATCATGAAGGTAGAGGGAGATGCACACGGTAGGACACCTGTGTGAGCAGCTTGGATGTATTCTCAGGATGACTCCAAAGTCATGGGAGGATGACGTTCAGAGGAACAGTCTGATTTGATTTACTTTTTATTTATTTTTTATCTTTTTTTTTTTTTGGTACTGGGAATCGAACTCACAACCTCATGCTTGCCAGGAAGGTGCTGTGCCACTGAACTATATCTCCAGCCCTACTTTTTATTTCTTTTCCCTTTTTTTTTCAGTACTGGGGATGGAACCCGGGGCCTTCGCGCTGAGCTCCATCCTAGTTCATTTTTTATTTTGAGACAGGGTCTCATTAAATTCCTAAGTTGCCCAAGCTGGGCTTCAGTGTGTCCTTCTCCTGCCTCAGCCTCCCAGAATGCTGGGATGACAGGCATGTGCCACCACATCCGGCTCTGTCCCCTGCTGTCCTGGCCCCATGACCAAGAGTCTGTGTCACTTACCGCCACCATCCGCTCTTCTAGGGCCTCTCCTCACACCTCGGCCACCTTCTTCCTCTGCTCAGGGCACCTCTTGGGGGCCTGGGTTCCTCCGACAGCCAGGGGGTTGCACCCCAAGATCCTCCCTTTACAAGACGCTTTCCCAGATGAGGTCACACAGGTGACCTGCGTCAGGACGCGGACAGACATTTGGGGCCACCTCAGCTCGGGACAGGGCTGAGCACAGGACGGAAGAACGGACAGGTGTGGGGCACGGGGCCACACCCGGCAGCTGCAGGTCTCAGCAGACAGAACATAGGACGCTTTCTGCGGGGACAGAACCTCTGGGCTGAATCTAGAGCAACGGGTGACGAGGACCGGGCGGGGTGGTGTGGGACTGAGCGCGCCGGGACTGCGGCGGGAGCGCGCCTGGCGTCGCGCACGTGCGCTGGGCAGGAGAGCCACATGCACCGACAGAACTGGGGTGCTGGGAGGGGCTCAGCCAGGCGACTGTGCCCCCAGGACACCGGGTGCCTGGGGACGCGCGTGTGTCCTGATGACTCAGGGAGCTCCTGGCCTGGAGGCCTCAACGCAGCTCAGCACCCTGCAGCGCCTGGGGGGCCCCACCCTTGAGAACACCCCAACTCTAAATGCTGACAGCTCTGACAGGGAGGCCCTGCTTAGGAGAATGAGGAGCAGAGAATGTTCTAGAATGGTGTTAGCTAATGGAAATATAATACCAGTAGCCAGGCAAGGTGGCGCACACCTGTCATACCAGCACTCAGGGAGGCTGAGGCAGGAGGATTGCAACTTTGAACCAAGCCTAGGCAATTTAGCAATTTAGTGACTTAGAGAGACCCTGTCTCAAAAAATAAAAAAAGGCTGGGACTATAGCTCAGTGTGAAGGCCTTGGGTTCTATCCCAGTAACACAAACAAGTAAAATAATAAAATACAATGTTCTAGAATGAGGGTCAGTAAACTTTTTCCATCAATGCTCAGAGGTAAATATTTTCGGGTTTGCGGGCCATAAAAGCATCCTAGAAAACTTGTACAGGAATGCACTCGGCTGTGTGCCAATAAAACTTTATTTATAAAAGCAAGAGCAAGACCGGAAAGAGCCTTTGAATTGCCACAAGTGTGCCTCAGAGATGAAATTGTTAATGTTATTTAATTTAAAGAAATTTATATTTCAACTTCAACAACCACACCTGATGGATGGCTGCAGGCTTAGGCAGCATAGATCTGAGTGTTCTAGAACTGGGGTCAGCTGCTGCATTGGACAGCACAAATCTAGAATGTTCTAGACTGGAGGCCGGGTGCCATGTTGGATGCACAGCTCCAAAATCTAGACTCTCAAACAGACAGGATTAATCTAATGGGTCTCCTGTTAGCCGTGAGCATACACCGTCAGGCATAGCTTAATGTTTCAGACAATGACCTGTCGCATTTATGCCTGTGGTGTCTTAAGATCTCACTACCTAGCCTGTCACAATGGCACACACCCCTGTCATTCCAGCTACTTGGGAGGCTGAGGCAGGAGGATCA